AGGCTGTAATGGTGACAGTTATAATAGCAGGGAAATCACTGCATGCTATACGGTCACTGTGCTTTGCAATATACATCTCATTTAATCCTCTCAAGAACTCTATGAACTAGGTAATGTTATCACTGTTTTATACACTGATTCTCAAAGAACCTGACAAAAAAACTGAGAATAAATAGAGTGATTATTTTCACTTAACAGTTTGATTTTTAAAGACCAATCTTTTATCCCTTCCATTAGGGCCTGTTGATCTCTCATGCCTTCAAAGGTTTTTTTTGTTTTGTGTTGTTTTGTTTTAAGAAGAAATGACATGTAGACATCAATTTTAGAAATAACAATTTCAATCTCTTATATAGATGGACTGCTGGTGGGTGATGGTAAAAGGTGAGAGAGGCAAACACAGTATYACTCAATGCAAGAGCACCTTGTTTTAATAAGGCCCCAAAGTTACAAGTTATCCTACCAGGTCAAAAAAAGAAGCAGCTCTTTGTTTCAAGGAAAACAAATCATACCTCAAATGAATCCAAGTCAACCTGCATGCTGCTGTTAACAAAAATGACCAGGTAAAAAGGTCTAGCTCATGCACAATAAATTCACCACCCACTATWAAAAACATGTGTGTACCTTTGTTCATAATGCATTTTTTAAAATTCCTAGTTTTATTTTTGTAAGAAAATAAAATATTAACTCAAGACAACCATAGAAAGGTGTCTTATTAGAAGTCTGATTAATTAGTGTTTCTCACCCAAAGTAACAATTCCTCTGGCTTTCTGCATCATCAGTTATTAAAGTGATGAAGTAAATTACCCATCATCATATATCAATGTCCAAATAGGGTAGTCTACCTCACATCCAGGCTAACTTTTTTAGCCTGTGCTTATGATTTCATCTTCAGTAACAACTAAGACAATATTAAATAATATTAAATTCAGTAAATATCAATTAAATTAGTAATCATCAAAATTTATAATAAAACATCTCTAGCCAACATATATCCTATACTATGCACAGTACTAATTAAAAAATGTGTGAATAGTCTTAATTATAAAAAACTGGACAAAGGTTCCATTTATTAAAGGATACACAGATGAAGTTATACATAAATCAAACAATTTAGTTTCACAGACCAGATGAAATGAAGTATAAAAAAAATTCTAAATCACCTACAAAATAAATTATTTTTAAATATACTTAATCAAAACATTTTTCTAATTTCAAACTTTAAATACCACATCTGAAGACAGCTCTCAGAGAAAACTTCTAAGAGACATAATTTACTAAAGAGTAGGCCAACTATTTATATTTAACTCTAATTTTTTTAATTTTTTAATTTTTTTTAAGACATGCCACAGACTGGCAAACAATATTGCAAGTCATGTTTTGTTGGGCAGGGGGGTATAGATGGGCAGTGTGCCTTTATTTTGTTTGTTTATTTTAATGAGGTGCTAAGGCTCGAACCCAGTGCTTCGTCTAGCCCCTTAACTCTAACTAAAAAAAAAAAAAATGGGGGGAGCTTATGGAAATTAGAAACAAACTGTTATTGTAGATCCAAAATCTAAACATTTTATGTATTATCTAACAAGAAATTTAACACATTGAGAYATTTTATCCAAAAGAAATATATAAGCATTCTCCTGTATTAATATATAAAACGCTTTTGTCCAAAACACTAAACATCTATACTGGACACTTGACAAAGAATGCAGGGACCATACGTAATCTTCATAGGAAGGAAGAGATGAAAGCAAAGAAGGATGGAGGGAGATAAGGCAATATGCATTTTTGTATAGTAAGCCTTAGGCAGAGCTAGGAACTAGAAACTTTTACACTCATTATCTCATTTAAATTCTAAAGCAAATAGTATATTGTCTTCCCATTTTACAGAGGTATTTCATAACTCTGTCAGTAGTGAAGCTAGTATCTGATTCAAGATCTGACTACAAAAATCGAATAGTCTTCCATTATGAAGGCTTGCAAATCAGCATGACATATTAAAGAACCTCTAACATGAGGTTATCTAACTGAAAAACTGATTCGATTTCCATATTTAAACTTCTCTTATTATTTCAACAATGCAAAAGAGAAGGCACTCAATTCTCAATTTACCAAGACCATTCAGATTTTCTTTTTAATCTAGGAAAAAAGTAATGGTGATTATTTTCAAACCACAAAGCAGTATTCTCCTTGCCCCTTCACTGATAAAACTTACACTAGACTTTGAAACATCCACATGTTCCATGAATACATCTTTCAAACCAATAAAAGGGATATATGATCTGAATATAAGACAGACTATTTGAAATTGAAATGCCTCCAGGATCCATGGCCATCATCACTGTATACATTAAATYCCTCTTGCCAAACTAAAAGCAGTAAAGGGAGGAGAAAAAAATGGCTTTCCAAAATTGACAAGCATGTTACTTTCCACTAACAAATTTCCTAAATCAAAAACATAGGTTCCCTCTTCCTAAATCAAAACATAAAATCTAGTGAGAAGATTTGACTAGACTACATCAAACTTCAAAATTATGTTCTAATAAACATTTTTATAATTACTTAACCACCCTCAGAATATTAGTTAAATATTTCTCTTTGGTAGTCATAATTAATGACACTACTATTAACTGAATATCAATAAACTGCACTGCACTATAAATGGAAAATACAAAGCYATAATGAAATTGTTCTGAAAAATATAGCACTGCCATTTGAGACAACTCAAATTTTTAAAGGACATTTCCAATTACACTAACCCATGCCCCCAAATAATTTTTGTCACACATAGCCACATGGACACATAAAATATTCTACACAGTTAGCAAGGCCCTAAACAACTTGGCAAGACCCTGTCTCAAAAAATTAAAAAAGGGCTAGGGATGTGGCTCAGTGGTTAAGTGCCCCTAAGTTTAATTCCCCTACTGGGGGTAAAAACACAAACAAAAAACCCTTTACACAGATGAAAACTATTCTGGAACTAATTTAACATGGTGACATTACAATTATTATCTTTGAGACTCAATAAGCTATTTCCTTTCCTCTAAACACCCCCCCCAAATAATGTAATTTTAAAAAACAGGACAAGTTAAGTTTAACTTTAACACCTTTTTCCTAACATGAAAAGGGCAATAATTTTATATRTAACTATAGTGTGAATTAAATTAAATAGGTAAGCAAAATAATTGTGTTCAGAGAGGKTCACTATTACTTCATAAGCATTGACTACTTTAGTAAATAAATAAATATCACTTGGAAGCACTCTTAGAATTAAGAATCTACCTCCAAATTGCTAGTTGTACCTTTTCAGAAGACTTTCAATATTATAACATTATTATCCCCACTTTGCAACTATGTTTAATAAAATTAAAATAAAGGAGTTCCAGTGTCTATGAATGCACTACCAYATATATACAACAAATATTCATCTGTCTCATGTGACATACAGACATGTTTATAAACATGACATTTGTATAAACATAATATTTAATAGAAACTATAAATTCTATAAAGCATTAGTAAAACACCTGACTCTCTAAAAATTGCCGTTTACAGAAGTAATGAATGAAGATAGACAACAAAACAAAAAACCATACATACAAAAGCCATAATAGTACAATAGTTATTTTTATCCTCACTTCCTAAGTTCACATTATTTTTCTAACTGTCATTTTTGTATGTTTTAAAAAAAACTATTTTGTTTACCTTTTCCACAGACTGACTGTTCAGTACTGCCAAGGTAACAAAGATTTTTAAACTAGAGTACTTAGCAGTTGTCAAAACAACACAGCTGGATTCTTAAAGGGAAAGTACTCTTGTGTAATATATACCTAATTACAGCTTTAGAGAACCTCTGCTTTATATACTAACAGATGATACAAGACACAAGGGAAACATGCTGTGCTAAAAACTTGGAAAATGTTAGACAACATTTGCTTTAAAATACGTATGCCATTGTTAACACATCACAGCAGGTCTTTCTAAAAGCAGTAACTGAATCCCAATCTCCCTAAAATACAGGTTCACACTATGATGTACTCAATCTACACACAGTTTCCCACTAGATCATGACAGGAGGCTCCTTTCACAGCTCCGAAATCTATTTCAGGTCTGAGCAACAATTTCATAGTTATATTTATTGGGTGGGGAAAAGCATTTTTTCCTAATTCAGAAATGCTCACCTTCCCCAAACTTATTTGAACTATCCTCTATTTTTAACCCTCAATGTTCAAAGACAGATGATACCGAATCAAAAGGCAAAGTTTCTACCACACACCATGATCCTGTGCTGGGACATATTTGAATGCCCCCTCGGTTCCCGSGACGCGACTCCCTAAGCTGTCGAATTCCGCACCCGCAGGTGCCCTCAACCCAGGCCCGCCCCAAATAAGGACCCCGACACTGGCACACACACGCACGCACGCACAGTTCAGACCTAAATGTTTCTCCCTGTTAGACCAATGTCCTCCCAAAGCAGAAGCGGGGGAACTTCTTCCAAGTCCAACAACAGGGTAGGACGCGCCCCGCACGAAGGGGGTCAATCCCTTCGAAGAAATCCTCGGCCTCCAAGAATAAGAGAAAGAAACCGAGAGGCTCCGAGGCTCCCAAGGAACTCCTTCAACTTTCAAAGAAGGCTACGTCCACCACAGCTCCCCGGACCCAGAGGCAGTGCGCGCTCCGGGAGGCTGCAAGCGTCGAACCCGCGCGGCCGAGCCTCCCCGCGCCCGCCCCGCAGCGCTCCTTCAGACCCCCCCCCGGGCCCGCCCTCGGGACACCCCGCCCCCACCTCGCCCCCGGGCGCCAAGCCCCTCCTCAAGGACCCCAACCCAAACACCACTCGCCTCCCCTCAGTACCTTACCTGCTCAGCCGCCGCGCACCCGCAACCCGGATCCCCTCCCAGTAGCACAGAGGCTCGTCTGGGGGTCCCCGGAGCCCTGCGGGCGCCCCTCCTCGTCCGCGCTGCCCCACGCCCCAGAACCCTCACCCCAGCCCTACCTGGCCCCCTCACCAAGACACCGCCCCCTCCAGCACTGCCGGCTCCGCAGTCCGCGGCCCTCACCGTATCCCCGGCACAGCTGGCGAGCGTGCACACGCCGCAGCCCCGGCCCGCCACAGCACTCCGCGCCGCCCAGAGCCGCCTCCTTCAGCCCGGGACTCGCCGGGACATCGGCGCACGGATCCCCACACCGGGGCTATTTTTAGGAGACAGGCCTCGGCCAGACCGGAACTTGTTCCTTGCTGCGCGCGTGCGCACTCCGCCTTCCAGCTCGGTGTCCCTCCGCCAGCCTGGCCTTTTCCTTACTGCCCCTCGGCTCCCTCTTGTTTCTCCCTTAATATTTCTGTGGTAATTTCTCCTCTTGGTGCGTCCAGAGTACATAGAATGGGGAATACGGAGGTGCGGGCAAAAGAGTCACACTATTTAGGAACGATCACTATTCCACAAGGACGTGAGGGGCGGACTATGTTTTTCCGGGTGGGTGAGGAGAAAGATCACCCGACACAGGAAGGAGATGACGGCGGTTTGGCGCCGGGGATACAGGCTGGAGCTCGCTTCCCTCAGAAGGACCGTGTTCTCCTGGAAGGGATACTGGTCACTTGATGAGGGCCTGGGCGCCTCCCAGGGAGGGGCGGCCCGGCAGCGTCGCGCCCGGCCACCCCCGCCTCCCCCGCCGCAGCCTCCCTGACCAGCCAGCAAGAGCCTTAACCCGCAGCGGTTCTAATGACGCGACGTGTGGCGAATCGCCGCGCGTGGCCCGCGGCTCCAGCCAACCCGGGGTGTCGGGGGCGGGGCGGGGTTCCTGAGGGCGGGGCGGGGCCCGGAGCGCAGGTCTGCACCCTTAGACCCTGCTGCCCCGCGGCTTTCTTCCGAACCGCTCAGAGCACCCCCATCGGTGTCATACAGACAAACCTGGGGTCAAGGCCTGCTCCCAGTCCTTGGGGCGCACTTGGCCTTCTCTTACGTGTGCTCGCCACGCCTGCGTCCACGCCTTTAGTGTGGTCAAGGTCGCACCTGTGCTGTTGCAGGAGCAGCSGGTGGTCAGTCTTACTGGGCAAGTACAATTGCATCAGGGCCCTCGAGCCGAACCTGGGCCCCAAAGTAATAGAACTTATAGGGGCCTTAAAGGCTAAGGACACATTGAGTCTGGCTAGCCAAGCTCAGGTCTTCCAAGGAGAGAAGCAAACTGTTTGTCTTGATTATTAAGAATAGCTACTACGTCTTTAGTGATGAACATTTTTGCATATGTATCTCATGTAATCCTTACAACACCCCCATGAAGTAGATTTCAGTTTCTGTTCTCACTTTACAGATCAAGAAAGGGAAGTTGAAAAGGCAAGGTGAACTGCAGGGTCACTGAACTTAGGGGAAGGGCACTGAGGACTTGAGCACCTAACCAATCTGTACTGATTTTTCTGAGAGGGGCAAAGGAGATGTGCTTGGGAGCTGTTCATTTTGTGAGATTGTTGATTTTTGTCGAGAGAGATAATTAAGAGAGAAGCCATCGTTGGTCCTCTCACCCTGAAAGCTGCTCACCTCTGCATCTGCACCCAAAGGTGCTGGTGGAAAGGACACAAAGCAAGGTGCCTATTTTCATTTGAAGATGAGATATTCAATCCTGCATACAGCACTTGAAAACAGTGATTGGGGTGAGTGAACAGATGTGCAGAGGCTGTGGGTAGAGGAACTGGGAAGTTCCAAAGGAAGCTGGAGGCTTCTGGCTTCCTCCCTCAAGGACTACAAGGCAATGTGCTGGGGAGAGCCCAACACAAAAGCAGTACATACAAACCAGATACTGGAAAATAAGCCTGACGCTCTCTTGGGAACCCCACAAGGATGGTCACTAGGGCCCACAACATGGGAACCCTACAAGGGTGTTCACTTGAGCCAGCAACAGGGATTGCAGGGAGGATTTTTAAAAACATTAGAATTTGGTGTAAATCAACAAGTCATGTGGATAGGCATTGTTTTTAACTTGCCAGAAGCTGCAAAGCCAACTGCATTTAACACCTTTGCTCCAAGAAAATAGGAAGAGTTATACTTTGCCTTCAAAGCCAAGGGTCTAAGATGAAAGACAATGGGAAATAATTCCCTCCTTTCCCTCCTGCCCTTCACCCTGGTAGAGAAAGAAGGGCAATGAGGACAGACTGTTCTAAAAGAGATTTCACTCTCTCATTGCTCCACCCCAGGTCCTGCCCTTCCAGAAACTGAGCCTCCTGAGACACCAAAGACTCAGCACAGATTGCCCACCCACCACCTATACCAATGCTATTGGTCACCCCAGAATCCAGACAGGGAACTTGGCCATGAGTCCAGCCCAGGCATTGCATGCCTTAAGGAGAAGCTCTCTTCCCATCACTTCCTTCATAAAAAAGCCCTTGTCTAAGAATTGCTAGGAAAAGTGGGAAAGAGGAAGAAAGGGAAGAAGACGAAAAAAAGGAAAGAGGAATAAGTTTAACAGTTCTGGAGCACATTGTAAAATACATTGTAGTATAAAATACATTAGCAGAACCCAATCAACAGTTATTTATAGTTAAAGTAACTAATTTTAGGAAGTCATCACATCCTCTTTTCAGATTCAAAAACCTGTTCCAGAAGTCCATTGTATCCAGCTAATTCCAGTGCTCAGCTTGGCACAGACCATATGCTAAGCACTTCTGTGTACCATTGACTTGGAAGGAAATTCTGAGGAGCAGCACATATTAGTTTCCTACACTCTGTCTGGCCTCCTTAAAGGTGCTCTGGTACTGGTATCTGAACCTCAAGAGCTCCATATTGCACTAGATGCTAGGATACAGGAGAGGAAGAATAGCCCTTTTTCCTTCAAAGGGGCGGATACGGAGGAAGACAGAGTTTAAAATATAATCCAGCTTGACAGTCAACTTCAGAGGGTCTTCCTCAGGTACCAGAGAGCACAGGTTATGAATATCTAAAGAGGGAAGGGAATTTTTGGAAGGCTTTCTAAAGGAAACAATGTTCACAGTTGGTCTAGAAAACCTCCTAGTAGGATGCAAAAGGATTATTCTCATTAGGTCTTGATGTGAAGAATAAAACCCAAACTCCCTAGGAAGCAGACATCCCTGACTACACAGTCACCCTCTTCTTCACCTCTTCCTGTCCATCACTTCACTGTCTTCATTCAGAATGCTGAGAAGCTTCTTTGTGCACATCAGATGTTTCCTCTTGTTTCCAGGCCAAACTCCTTTGTATCCATCAAGCCTCCACTTACAGGCACATTTCTCAAAAGGCATTCTCTAAGAGAGTGCTTTGGTGTAAGCATGTCTTTATGTATGTCTGTCTCCTCCCTTGCAGAGACAGATCCTTAACAAGAACTATGATGTGCTTCATATTATATTTACAGTGTCTAGAATGGAGCCTGGCATGGAGTACAATCAAATAAGTGTTTGCTAAACATTTAGAAACAGGCTTTTGGCAGAGGGAGTGCTACATACAGGGGCTTCTGGGTGTGGCTCAAGAGAGAACCCATCACTAGCAGAGCATACCCCGAATGTGGATGGTGTGCCATAAAGTGGAGTGGAGTAAGGTTAGAAGAGTGTTTAGGAGATGAAACAGAACCTAACATGTTGGCCATTTGCAGGCAAGGCTGTTTGTCTTTTATTATGAAAGTAATGAAGAGCCATCAACATATTAAGCAGGTGAATAGATTGATCTATTTGGCATTTTAGAAAGATTCCTCATAGAGCAAGACAAAGGAATAGTCACAACAGATTGGAAGAAACCAAGGAGACCTGACAACAAGTGCAAAATGTGATTCTGGATTGGATTCTAGTATAAAAGGGAGAGATAAGTGGAAAATTGGAATAGGTCTATAGTTCATAATTATATAACATTATTAATTTCCCTTTTTTGATAATCAATCATGTTATCCTTATATAAAATGATAACATTCAAGTAAGAATACAATGCACTCTCTGTACCATTTTTAAAACTTTTAGCAAGCCTAAAATTATTTCAAGATAAAACCATTTTTAGCAATAAGTATTTTATAATTTACCTGACTCCTTAGTTATAACCTCTATGTGGAGTAAATATAACTGGTATACCAGTTATCTAAAGCATTTTTATAATAATTTACAACAGTAAGTTTAACTTCAATTTGAGCAATATTAAAACATTGGTAAAAATGTTTAAAAGTATGAATATTTTAAGGTGATCCATGTTCTGAATTGAGGGAGGAAAAAACATGGAAAATAACGAACTATTTTCAGTTACTACATAAAGCAGTAAGATTTCATGTCTGCCATATGGCTATCCCTAAACATCAGAAACTGACACATATACATGTATTACTTCTAACATATAAAAGAATATATAACATCCTTTTCAGACATGAAAAGTTTTCACTTTTCTTATTTTAATATCACTTTGGCTTTTATTCTTGAGTGCATAATGATGAAAAAGATGAATTCAGGTCCTCATAGAAGGAAATAAAAGAGCTTTCCTTGGCTCAGTTTATATTCTTAAATGTAAAAGTCTACATGAAGATTAACTACACTTTAAATATATAAGAAATTGAGTCTTTGACAGCTGGATGTTTTACTCAATTGAACTTCAAATAAGTCTTTCAATTTCTATTATATGTTGTCATTTTGTTATATTGTATTTTTTCTTCTGTAGAGAGTTTATTCAGACTTTGTGATTCTCTCCAACAACCAACAATATATTCACATTTCAATTACAGTAAATCCAAACCTTGAGATTATTTTCTTTTCAGATTCTGTATCCATTCAAAGAAGGACTGTACTTCACACATCCCCCAATGGCCCACCCACATCAACCCCTTGCATATGATCTTTGCCTGTGTATTTTTGTCACAAGCATTTCTCCTGAAGGCTAAAGCTATCCTACCAAGCACCCTTTACTCCCCTCTCAATTTCTTTCAAAGCGAATTCCAAGCACGACCAGTCTCTGCCACGTTTATTGGGATGTCCACTTAGACCCATTCTGGGCCTTATTGTCCCCAAGAGAATGGCTAGGATTTTTATCTCTTAGTTTTAGAATATTGAGATTTGAAAAAAAAAGGGGGGGGAGTTACTGAAAAAGTGAGATCACAAACTTTGGAGTCAAATAGTCCTTTGTTTAAATCACACCTCTACCATTTCCAGGTGTGTAACATCGGGCAAGTTGCTCGACTTCTCTAAACCTCAATTTCTCACG